ATCACCTCGAGTGCTCGATCGCATTCCTCATCCCAAACTCCTTTTGTGCCCCTTTGAGCATGGCAAAGAATGGTTTACACTTGTCTGAAGACTTGGAAATGATCCGGTTGAGGGCTGCCAATATCAATAACTTTCTGGATGTCTTTGATAGTCTTCGGCACCTGGATATTCTGCACGCCCTGTACCTGCTCAGGGTTGGCCTCTATACCCCGATGAATGACCAAGTATCCCAGAAACTTACCTAAGCTTACCTTAAAAGCACACTTCGAGGCATTGAGCTTCAAGCCGTATCTCTAGAATACGGCAAGGCCGTTTTGAGGTCACGAAGATATTCGGACTCCTCCTTACTCTTGACTAGCATGTCATCAATATACACCTCCATGTTAACCCCGAGTTATTTCTTAAAATCTTGTTCATCAGGCATTGATAAGTGGCACCAGCATTCTTTAATCCAAACTGCATCACCATGTAACAATAGATCCCTCAGGGTGTGATGAACGTTGTTTTCTCTTGATCTGATTTGTGCAAGGGAATTTGGTGGCAACCAGCTCGGGTGTCCATAAAGGAGATACGCTTATGGCCAGTTGTCGCGTCAACCAACTGGTCAACCTTCGGTAGTGGATACTCGTCCTTAGGGCAGGCTTTTGTTCAAATATGTGAAATCCACGTCATTTTTCACATTTCTTCTTTGCACACACCGTGTTTGATAGCCACTCGGGGAACTAGACTTTCCTGATGGACCCAGCCCCGAGCTGCCTATCGACCTCTTCATCCACTGCCTGAGCATGATGAGGCACCGTCCTTTGAGTCTTTTGTTTGACAAGCTTAAAGGATGGATTCACATAAAGTCGATGAAATATCACCTCGGGGCTTACCCCCGTTATCTCGAATTGAGTCCAAGCGAAGACATCTACATTTTGGTGTAGGAAGCTTATCATGTCTGCCTTATCAGCACCACTCAATGAAGATCCTATTAAAAAGAACATGTCCTCATCCCCGAAATTCAGAAGGATCTTGATCAAGGCCTCTGTAGATCAATCAGCCGGTTCAATGATCGGATCGTCTACATCAGGCCGACAGAACTGTATTGCTATTTAGCCAGCACTGCCTCGGGGTTACATTCTTGAACTTGAGCGCTGACCCCAGTTTTTCACCGTGGCATAGAAATAGCTCTTGGATGATACCTGATCACCACAAATCTGCATGACACTCCTCGGCGTAGGGAACTTTATTTTTTGGTGATAAGACGAGTGTACCACACTCATTGCGTGCAACCAAGTCTTGCCCATGATGGCATTGTATGAAGAATCGGAGTCTATCACCATGAATTCCATCGGGACGGTAACGACCCTGGCAATGACCATCAACGTGATCTTCCCGAGGGGGATGGCGCAAGATCCGTTGAAACCTACCATGGGGGGTCTTAACTGGTTTCAAGTCTTTTTGAATGAATCCCATTTTGCAAAACATGTTATCATACGTCACCTCGGATGAACTTCCCAAGTCTACCAAGATCCTCCTCACATCAAATTTGTTGACTCGAAGGATGATTACTAGAACATCCTTGTACAAAAGGGCCAACCCACCCAGATTGGCGTCAGAGAAGTTGATAGTCTTGGCATCAAGTCGGGCCTTCTTAGATGACAGCTCCTCATGTTTTTCTCCTACTTTTACGGCCTGGGACACCCTCTGTAGGCCAGCACATAGTGAATTGTAAGTTGGTCTCTCCATTGTGCAGGCATGTATCACATTGATCACGGGCCATCAATGAACTTCCCAAGGGCCCATCTCAGACCAACTACTAAAGAAAGGACTTGTACACTCTACAGTCCTCAGTCATATGTCCAATGTCTCGATGGTAGGAACACTTTGACTTTGGATCCCTAGAGGATGGGTCCCCTTGCATCTTCGGGGGCCACTTAAAGAAAGGTTCCTTCTTTATCTTGTGGAGCATCTTATAAATGGGCTCCTTGAAGATTGTACTCACCTCTTGAAAGGACATGCAGCTCGGACCAGGAACCGAAGCCCCTCTCCTTGCAGGTGTCTCCCTGTCCCTCTTCTTTGGTGTGGGAGCCCTAGGCTCGGGCCCTGTCGATTCTTTCTCAACCCGCAAATATTTGTTTATTTGAGCCATCAGGTCCTTCATGTCCACTGGAGCTCACTTAGTGAGGGATCGGTACAGATCAGTATCTCGGGACAATCCTAATCGAAACGTTGCTGCCGTCATGGCCTCCGAGCAAGCCTCAACCTCATTCAACTCCTCCCAGTATCTGATGGCATACAGGCAAAGGGTCTCGCCACCCTTCTGCTTGAGAGTTAGCAGAGCGTCGATGTCTTTTGGCCTCTTGTTACTGGTGATAAATCGAGCCACAAAGAGCTCGAACATTTATTTCCAAGATTTGATACTCTTAGGGGCCATCATACCACTTCATGGTAGTGTCCCCCAGGCTCATAGGGAAAACTTGGCACAATAGCCTTTGGTCGGTGTCGTATATAGATACTAGCTACTTATATTATCGCAAATGGCTCTCGAGATTCGTCCGCCCATCATAAACCTTGAACCAAGGGACAGTGAACTTCTTCGGCATCTCGACTTCTCGAATCGCCCGAACAAAGGGCGAGACGATCTGCTCATCTTCAGACTCTTCTTCCTCCCTCTGATACAGATTTCGTCGCTTGGCATCCAAGCGTGCTCGGAGGTCCTCTCGGGGCCTTGTTTTCCTAGGCCCCCTAGTGGTAGAACCCGTGTGGGACTCAGTGACTGCGGTGCCCGCTGAGAGCCTATGAAAAAAATCTCCACGGAAAAGGTCTGTTTGCCTACCCTCCTCAGGAATAGGTGTTTTATAGCTCCGAGACTTGCACTTCTCGCCCAAGCGCTCGTGTAAGCTTCTCCCCTAGGTATTCGGCCTTGTGCCCCTAGAATCATCCCAGAGGATACTTCTATCGTCACGTAAGCTACTTCGCCTGCTGGCATCCCCAGATTGCTCAAAATCATCGAGTCGAGTCCGCACCTTAGCATTATCCTTTTCCAATCGCTCAAGACATTTTTCCATCCGTTTCTCCGTTAACTCAACAATTTCTCAAGCCAAAAGGCCTTGCCCCCCAAGGCCTTAATCCACTAGCAACGTTTGCTGAGAGACATTCTGGTCTCCACCAAACTAGCTCAAGGAGTCTAATTCGATGATTGCTGGAAGTCGGCTAGCTTCCGCATTTCTCACGCGTTAGCTGCCCCCCCCCCCCCCACATCACCTTGGGATCATGTGTTCATCATGATGTGATTGTTAAAGGGGAAGTTCGTAGTTTCCCATAGACGGTGCCAAATTGCACGGATGAATACCCGCAATAGTTGAGGATAACAATCATCTGGATGGTGAACCTGAAATAATCAAAAGATTAGGACAAGGGCAAAGTGAACACCCGGCTAATCCCATCGAATCTCAAGTCAGTCGGCATTGGAGACATTGACATAGTGTATTTTTTGAGTTTGGTTTGCGTACCTTTGTTCATTTTTCTGTAAGGTATTTATACTTGAATAAGTAATGATTAGGGGGTCTGAGAGTCTCATCTCAGCATTTAATAGCTAACACTCATATCCAAGAGTAATGAGTGCACTTCAGTCAAATCCCTTCACATTTAGCCCCCTCGGGGTATGGAAAGAGTGCTCGGGGGACCCCGAGTATTAACTCCGTATCGTCAATCATTTAATAGCCTTGGCTCGGTGCTTGACAACTACGCCCGAGCACTTAATGCTCGGGGAATAGTCACCTCGGGCGCGCCAAAGATAACAAGTCGATCGTCACTACAATTAATATTTTGCAATGATGACTATTCCTACAGGTCTCGAGGTCACAGAGGCTCATTAATGGCCCTGTCATTAATGAACTGTCTTATCCTCATCAATACTGGGCTCAATCAATGTGCTCGACTTGGCCTTACCATAGCTGTCGGCTCTTTCTTCTGGCGCCCTTTAGGTTCATAACGGCTATAAGTATACACATGTCAGCTTAAGGATGCTGAGCCACCTAGGTCCCGTCCCTTTAAATATTACTTTCTCGGCCCTTGAAACTTCCAGGAGAACACATCCCACCAAAAAAAAAAAACTAAAATTCAAATCTGTGGTTTATATGTTACTTTAATTCAACGGACATCTCTTTACTTTACCTGTAGACATTGTTTTGTATTCTACATTATTGCTGATAAATTTCGCAAGAACCAGTTATTTTCTGATCAGTAGCTTCTGCAAGCAGGGATCTTTCAAATAACAGAGGTCTGACAGGAACACTTCCACCATCAATTGGGAATTTAAAGAATCTGACGATCCTGTAAGCAAAATCCTATTCCCTACTGCTTTGAGTGTTAGCTACCCAACTAGTGTGCTTCAGTTTTTACATTGACTAATTTATTTTCCTTTCACGTAGAAAGCTGGTTGCTTGCAATTTCTTTGGTCCAATTCCAGACTCAATAGGATCTCTGCCGCAGCTAGTATTTCTGTAAGGATTTCATTCCAGAGTACTTTGTTTGATTTTCTCAAGGTTTGATGATCATCCATTTCCTTACACAAGCCCAGGAATTTTGGCATTATAGTTTGAACCACATTTGAGTAATAAAAAGTATGTGTGTGTGTGTGTGTGTGTTGGGGAGGGGGGTGGTTAAAAAGCTTGTTTTGCTATTAACCTCTTCAATGGAGAAACTCAAACTTAAAGGAGGAGACAAAAACCCAAATTTAAATGAGGGTAAAATATGACTATTGGATTTTTAAAGGAAGGTGAATTTAAATGAAGAGTTTTAGTTGAAGATGCAGTCATCTTATGTTCTGTATCTTGTGAATTGCCGTCCTACGCAGAGATCTGAATTCTAACAGCTTCAGTGGACCAATTCCAGCTTCTATTGGTTCTCTATTGAATCTTATAGTGCTGGATGTAAGTGAGAATCAGCTTAATGGAACCATTCCAGTGTCCAAGGGAACTACACCTGGTTTGGATATGCTAGTTAAAGCAAAACACTTGTATGTTCTACTTCTGAAGTTTTCAAAATGTTTAGTTTCTTCTTTCTTGTAATTTTTTTTTCCTATTTGTCGATGTGAACATCTACCAATTATGTACAGTCATTTCCAAAATAATCAGCTTTCGGGCACCATCCAACGGCAACTTTTCAGCTCAAACATGAACTTGATACATTTGTGAGTATATTGGAATGGATATTTAGTATCTCTGCTTTATTACCTTTAAGTAAATATGTAATTCAGATACGTTTTGTGCGCATTCACTTTGTTCACATATAAGTAAGAAGGTAGATGGTTTCACAATAGGCCTCCATTTTCTCCGTGTTTATTTTTTGCAGCCTTTTTAACAACAATCAACTGAGGGGGAACATCCCTCCTACTCTAGGACTTGTACAAACATTGGTGACGGTGTGAGTATCTCCATCCTTGCTTGCGCTGAACTTTTATAATTTAGTTTGCGCTGAATTTTGTCTTGGCTACAGCCGCCTAGATTGGAATTCATTAAGTGGGCCCGTCCCTCCGAACCTCAACAACCTTACAAGTGTCAAGGAGCTGTAAGCAGACAGATGATTTCTCGAACTTCAAGCTTTTAGATTATCATGCATTAGATTCTCCGAGTAATAAAAATGGGACTTGGCTATCCACTTTCAGGTACTTGTCCAACAATGAACTCACAGGACCTCTTCCAGACTTTACCGGCATGAACTCCCTTACCTACATGTAAGCTGGGGTTACTTTCTTGAATCTTTCATATTATTAATGGTGTAGGTGAAGCAATGCTGCTTAATTTGAAGCTATCTTTTCAAAGATGATTTTCAACTTTTCTCCTGTCATATTCGCATACTTTTTTCGTTTGTGTTTTTTCTTTGTCAAATTCTTATGGCATACTCTGTAATAATGTGATCCATTGGAAATTCTGACCAACACCTATTTGCTTTGTAGGGATATGAGCAATAATAGTTTTGATGTATCAGAAATTCCCCCGTGGTTTACCGAAATACAGTCTTTGACGACATTGTACCCATCTCTCTCTCTCTCTCTCTCTCTCTCTCTCTCACTCACTCACACACAGCAGAAACATGCATTCATGAAAAGGTTTCTTTAAACATTCATTCATGAAAAAGTTCTCTACACATTGCTGTCTTAAGAATAGTTAAACTATGATTTTTGTATTGTTGTCATACCCAATGAACAATCCTTCCCGCCTTTGGCGGGATTAGGAGAGGTAAGTGGAAAAACTTCACTGGAGATGTCTGTCTACCCAAAACATGGACTTTTTTCTGTCTTTCGAATTGAAATCGTACACAAAAGACAATGCCCTGAACTTCTTCCAAAAGGAGGACTCTCTTTCATCACTTTCCTGCCATCTTTGTACCCTCTCTCTCTATCTCTCTCAATGTGTTTTTGTTATGTGTGTGTGCGTGTATCTAGTTGTCAACCTAATGGGTATACAAGATAGCCAGGAGCACCTTTAAGGGTTGGAAGCCCCAACAGCTCTTCAATAACAACAAAAGAAAGTGAATTGTCTTGTTAATTTACGAGTTTTTTGATGCTGTACGTAAAATAATATTTCTTTACCTCATATTGACAGAGTGATGGAAAATACACAACTTGAAGCACACATTCCAGTCAATCTTTTCAGCCTCCCTCAATTGGAGACGGTGTGAGTATAAGCTTAATCTCCAATAACACCATGAACACCAAGATTTAATGTGGGCGATGTTCAGTAACAAAATTTAATGAACATATGTTTTGCTTCATTTTCAACATAGAAGAATCCAAATAAGGTTTTTTCAATGAGAAATGAGGGTGATGGGGCAATTTATTGGAAATATGTTGGCAGGGTACTAAGCAACAACAAGCTTAATGGGACACTGGATATTGGCAACAGTTATAGCAACAATTTGACCGTTGATTTGCAGAACAACTCCATTAGCGACTTTACACAGAAAGCAAGTTACAATATGGTCTTGAAGTAAGGCAATTTATTTTTTTGTTGATTCACCATTAATTCCATTTTGGGATAGCGCATGCTCTGTGCTTAATGTTATTAGCATGTTATCCCCTTTTAGAGTTCTTATTCCATTGTTTCATGCAGGCTTGTGGGTAACCCAATTTGTCAGGGAAATGGAGCAACCGAACGATACTGCACAATTCAGAAATCCAACCCTTCATACATCACACCAACAAATAGCTGCACTGCCGTGGTCTGCCGTTCAGACAGAATATTAAGTCCAAATTGCAAATGTGCATATCCGTACACAGGAACCCTACACTTCTTTTCTTTTTCCTTTTCAAATTTAGAAAACTCAAGTTACTTCAGAACACTTGCGGAGTCTCTGATGTCAGCTTTTCAGTCCAATCAACTTCTTGTGGATTCAGTTTCTCTTAGTGATCCAACCGTTGATGTATACTCTTACCTTCAGTTCAGACTGCAAATCTTTCCTTCTGCTCTGGATCATTTCAATAGAACAGGAATTTCTACAGTTGGTTTTCTGCTCACCAACTCTTTCCCGATTCCAAATTATGGGAGTTACTCCTTTAAAGAAGAGAGCTATTGTTGCTTTGCAGGTAAACTTGTATCTCATATTAACTAGTAGAAGCATTTTGGATGTTTGGTGCAACGAGACACATCATTTTCTATCCATACATAGGAGTACATCCTCTTAGAGTATCCAACTCAAAACTAATTGGTAATGAGTGGAGTAATCCTTCAAGTATATACTCCAACCTTGCCGGTCATAATTATTTAATGTAGGGTACAAGATCTCTTAAACACCCTCCCTCATGTAGGACCCGGACTTGTATGTGGAGTCAACAAATAAACAAACAACTATTCATACTGTGAAATTCAAATGGGTAAGAGACTTCATCCACTAGCCACCCAAAACTCAACTCTAATATATCATGTTAGAGCATCCAACTAAAAACCAATAGGCAATGAGTAGAGTAGCCTTCAAGTACATGAACAAACCTTTGCAGTTTTAATTATTACAACCTCTGTTAACACATCTATCGACCTATTTTTGCATTTACAGGAGCAAAAAAACCATCTAATACAGGAATTAACGTTGGAGCAGTAGTTGGTAGTTTTGTGCTTGTGCTTTTCATACTCGGTGCAGGATTTTATGCTTTCCATCAAAAGAGAGAAGCAAAACGAGCAGTTCAACAGAGCAACCCTTTTGGTAAGATCAATATTTGTGGTAAAACAAAGCTCTTTTTAGCTAAATTATATGAGTTGCTCTAAAAACCATTTTCGTACAACTGTAGCAAATTGGGACCGTGATGAAAGCAGTGGTGGTGTTCCACAACTTAAAGGAGCTAGATGGTTTTCATTTGAAGAGCTTCGGAAATGTACTAACAATTTTGCAGAAGTGAACGTTGTTGGATCTGGGGGCTATGGGAAGGTTAGATATTTTAGTTTCCTTTCTCTTTTTCAATTTTTTTTCAATCTCCATGTGATACTTCAGCTAGTACTTTACCACCAGTTCTAGTTAAAAACTGCGATTTCAGACCCTAAACCTGTCCTAAGACTCTCACACCATTGATTAATCCACACGCCATCATTTACTAGACAAGAAGACAGTACATATGTTAGATCCGGATGAATTGGTCTTATTTGGCAATTATCGAAATATCCGGAACTATTTAACTTCCTATGTGGACAAGCCAGTTATCAGAGAATGGAATAGTGAAGTACAAGCAAAATAAGTTCTCAAAAGTATGTAATTGCATTATTATCTAAAGTACAATACAACATTTTTCCCATTCACTTTATTATTTTAAAAACTTCATGTGACAGACATGCGCTCTTTTTTCTTTTCTGATAACAAAATGTGTTTGCTTCGTCCCCTGGATAAAGATTATTTTGACCTTCCTTCTTACATGACAAAATTTTGATGATTAACATGGGATTCTCGGCATTTTTCCGCTCTCGATATTAGTTGAGCTCCAGAAATTTCTAAATTCTAAATTTATAGTTTGTTGACAGGTTTATAGAGGAACTATTGCCTCTGACCAATTAGTTGCCATCAAAAGAGCTCGACAGGGATCATTGCCGGATGCTCTTCAGTTTAAGACTGAGATTGAGCTTCTATCAAGGATCCATCATAAGAATGTTGTCAGCCTGGTGGGTTTCTGTTATGAGCAAGGGGAACAAATGCTGGTCTATGAGTATATTCCAAATGGTACCCTGAAAGATGCTCTTTCAGGTAATTTCACTAATTTCTTGTAGTCCTTCGAATATTTGAAATAGTATCATCAGCCACCTTCAACACATAATATTGACAATGAAGCAATCAGGTAATCAGATAGGAGCTATAAAAATGAGACTTTGCCTAATACGACAATGTGTCAAACTCAACCAAGGAGATTAAAACCATCACTTCATCTCATAACAAGACTGGATTGCTTCTCCTGCCCTACCCCTTTTACACCTGAATCTCATTGATTAACGTTACCTAACCACGGGCCTCCATCTAATTAAGTACGACTAATAAAAGTATATTAATGGTGCCATGCCGAATTACATAATGGCTAGTGGGCAGGGGGACCTGTCTCGAAACCCCTATTCTGTGTCGCCCTTAAGCCAATGGACTACTCAATTGAGTTATACCATAGAGTTGTACAGCCCAACCGTAGACGAGCAATCACTCGTTAACAGAAATTTTCTCTCTTTTTTATCCTCAAGCACAATGAACTATGCAAGAAACAATATGGAGAATTATAATTGAGAAGACACAAATGAAAATTACTTCTCTTTGATAATCTGAACATGATCTATACAGGGAAGTCAGGATTCCAATTGAACTGGATGAGGAGACTTAGAATAGCCCTTGATTCAGCCAAAGGTCTGGCCTATATGCATGAGCTTGCCAACCCTCCCATCATACACAGGGACATTAAGTCAACCAACATCCTACTAGATGATTGTCTAAATGCAAAAGTTGCCGATTTTGGCTTATCCAAACTTATGGAAGATACCAGTAAGAATTATGTCAGCACTCAAGTCAAAGGGACAATGGTAAGTATGAAATCCTTAAAACCTTTACTTTAGCATGGATACCACTACATTGCTATGTAGCCATTTTTGGATGTCTTTTTTTCCTGAGGGGGGAGATGGAAAATAGTATAGCTTTGCCCTCCAAAGCTTTTTGGATAGTTACGAGTTTCGGATTGTTTCTGGAATTGTTGAGATAGAAGATTATTATAACCTCATTTTGCTGGCTAATCAAGGCACTGACCTATGAAATGACTCCAGAGTTGTCCCACTATTTTTTGTAAGCAACTGAATATTACTGAATTTTTCAATTTTCATTGTGCATCACTTCAGTTACTGGATAAGCATTGATAACCGGGTAGCTTATTGGAATAATTTCTAGTACTTCTCAAGCAGGATGCCAAGTGTTTATTAAAAACATACATCTGAGGATTATATTCGCTGTAATTATGATTTCTTACACTTGCTTGAAAAGTTGCCCACTGTTTAAATAAAATATCTCCCTTGATAGTTGCCCTAATTTAAATGTCTCCCGGATTTACAAAGCATGCAAAAAAAAAATCTAGGAAAGTTTGGACATTTCTAGTGGAAGGTGGTAGAGGATATGGTCCATACTTCTAGTGCTTGCCCCAGGCCACATACTGCACACACATTTTATAGGACTTTAAGTAGCTATTTAGCTTTTCTCAAATTTATCTATGCTGTGTATGATTGGGTATTTTGGTTATTTTATTGGTGCTTCAATTTTGCTTTAGGTTGACACATGGAAAATCGATTCCTTTGTCACTGTAGGGATACATGGATCCTGAATATTACACTACCCAACAACTGTCTGAAAAGAGTGATGTTTATAGCTTTGGAATTGTATTGCTGGAGCTGGTAACTGCAAGGGCACCAATAGAGCGAGGGAAGTACATTGTGGTAGTGGTTAAGAATGCAATTGCTAATTTAACGGATCAATATTACATTCATGACATTCTTGATCCAACCCTCGGTCCAAGTGCAAAACTTGGAGGCTTGAAAAAGTTTGTGGAGTTGGCAATGAGATGTGTCAAAGACTCTTCATCTGAGAGGCCTACAATGGGTGAGGTGGTGAGAGAAATTGAGAACATCATGCAGTTAGCTAGTTCGAACAAGAATTTTGAAACAGAGTTCACTTCATCGAGTTATGAGGGGAGTTCAGACGGGAGTAAGGCCTTTGATTACAGTGGAGGATTATAAAGTTCGGATTCAAATTCTATCCCATCTTTGGATAGGTTTCATTTGGTTTGTGCACTTCATTTATATGTTAAGATAAAAGATATTAAAATGACTACTGCACCCTTGTATAAATAAATGTAATCTAATCCTATACCAATTAGAATGAAAAAAGTCCAATCCAATAATATTGTCTTATTTAGGGAAAAAAAATATGATTCAATAAATTATGCATTTTTACAACATATTGCAAAAAGTATGTTTATAATTTATTTAATTTAATTTGTGCAATACACAATCAATCTGAGTCTGATTCAATCAGAACTTTATACACAAGTAAGCCATATCTTTCAACCAAACGCAAACCATCTAACATAGCCCTAAACTTTGCACCCATATTAGAACATGTCCCATAGAAAAAAGAAGCAGCTAGGATCACTCATCCCCATTCATTTTGAACAACTACACCCCCACCAGTTATACCAGGGTTGCCCTTCCCAACCCCATCCACATTCAGCTTCAAAACACAACATCCTGGCCTCACCCAACTCACCCGCAGAGCCTTAGTTCTAAGAACATAAGACAAAGAAATACCTAGCAATTGAAGAAAAGCACTTCCCCTATTCACATCCATCATTTAGGCCTCACATTCTTTACCTGAAACCTCAAAACACTAAATATTTTGAGAAAAACGGAGTAAGAATTGATAAATCCTTCCTCAGCTCTCCTCCTACACCTCTCTTTCCAAATCAACCAGTAAATTAACAGAGCAAAGCTTCTTCCAACCCACTAGCTGGGCACTAGGGGTAGTCACCATACCCCAGATTGCCTTTGCAACAACATTCCTTTCCCCATGCTGTCTCACCAATTTCCAAGCTGTTTTTACAAAAAATGAACCAGAATTGGAACACTGCCAAATCAACTTGTCATCAGAAACAGAGAGAAGTATCCCAACATTTTTAATTTCCTTTGTTAAATGTTTTCCCAACAATTGTTCACAAGGTCCCAACTGCCAAACTGAATTCACAAGCAACTCACTGACCTTAGGAAAAACCTAAGGCAACTCCTCTATTCTAAATAGCAAAGGCCTATCTCCCAATCATAAATCGCACCAAAAATCAGTTTGGTCAACTTTACCCAGCATCATTGTGGAATGTAATATTTACTGTCTCAAAGAATTGCCTCAAAACCTCCAAACACTTTGAATGAAAAAAAAAATGCAATATGGGGTTTAAGTAAAACCCCAATTTTCATCTTCTTGATAGCAAGACTTTTTTGAGACAGAAACCCTAACCAACAAATCCGTGCAGTCATACCTTGCCTCGTCAATGCATACACCACATCCATGGCCATCATGGTCTTGCGACCAGCGTGCTCAGTGTAGGTCACACCATCACGAATCACATTCTCGACGAAGATTGCCAACTTTGTTATGCCCTGGATGTTATCGTGAAGCACCTTCCAGGACTGCTTCACTCCTCCCTTTCCCAGCCCATTGCCTCCCTTTCCACGTCCAGACAATAGCGATTGATGCTTCAAAATGTGAGAGAGAGAAAGAGAGAGGAGAGGAGAAGAAAGGAGTGGGCTGTTAGGGGCGGTGAGCTGAGGAAGAGATGAAAAATGCTTGGCCCGAGTACTATTTTTAAGGTCATAATGATAAAATCATTAGTTATCCTGTCATTTGGAAATCTGCCCAAATGAATCCCATATGCTCCGTGGGTTTAATGAATCCGACTCAGAAGGGATACAAGGCTTCAATCACTACGGGCCGAGTAATTGGGTAACAATGTTTATCCTATCTAAAATTGTGGATCCAAACCTGGGTTATGTGGGCCCCAAACAATTTAAATCCAATCCATATGAGTTATCCACCTTTATCCCTCAAACCAAACACCACCATAGTTTTTCTTTGACCTCAAATGATTTTTTTGGTTGAAATTTAATGGAGAGCTACAAGTGAATCTGTTTATAACATCCTTGTCAGTCTTGCCCCAATTTATATGGTATTTTCTTGTATTCATTCAACCTCTTTGAGTCATCGTATACACGAGTAATTATTCAATGTGACAGTGATAATACGTTATCATCGTCACGTGGTATCATCAACTGATTATGAGTAAATAAGTACGACAATTGAATTACAATAATCCTACATGATAGTTATTGAATACAAAAGTAGTTGATAATTAGAATTTTTTGGGATCTACTAGTTCTACATGTTTATTTATAATTGATTGATAACACCACGTGACGCTAACGAGCTATTGCCAATATTTTCCCTATTTGGACATCTTTCTAACATTGATACATGAATATGCATCCGGATCATATAAATTTTGGCTTAAATTTTGTGAATTTGGGCACAAATGAATCATTTAAATCAATCATGTGAACACCAATATTTTACTAAACGTGACCTCGTGGGTGGGTGATTCATTCCAATTTTTTGATTGCCTTTCGTCCCAAATTAATCATGGGAATATCAAGACTGGACTAGGTTGATGCGGTCAAATTTTACGGTCAATTTTGACTTCTTTTTTTTTTGTGGGTTATAGGGTATTCAAATTTGCGTCGACTACTCCCTTGAACTCGTATTTAACTCAAAAGATCCGACCCAATTTAAACCACCATGCTATCAATCACACAAACATTAAACCTAGACTAAGTATGATAATCGAATCATATTGTATTGAATTTGAGTCACATTAAGTAGTAATCAATCATAGTCCACTTCATTTATCTAATCGTATTAGTGTTTTAATATTAATTTGATTTTTTATCAAATGTGCTATATTTGGGTTGATTCTTTTCTTTGTCCATCAAACCCAGATCTCTTATAAAATCAAACTTCATCTTTAAGCTTTTAAACACAAAAATTACTCATGTTACAAGAAGTCAAGAATTCATACACTACCTAATGAAAAAAATCAAAAAAATTCTTTAAATAATACTTAGTAAAGGGGTTTATAATGTCAAATCGAATTATTTATATTTGTAACTAACTTAAATCCAATTTATTATTCATTTTATAAGATCGTGTTATTTTTAAACTTCTATTAGTAAATAATCAATCATAATTTACTAATTTCGTGCCAAACATTGCAACCATTAACCAAGACCAAACTCCACGCGAACTCTTGAGGAGGATGATATATTTGAAAATGTAAGTGGAGAGGACCAAATAGTTTAGTGGATTGGAATGAAAGAGTGTTTTAAGTGAAACTTCTGGACCTTGCCTCCATCGTTGACCTAGGCCCTTACCTTTTTGCAATAAAATATCCAATGTGTGCCATCAATTCCGAGGCGTCCTTCTTCGCGAGAAGGTTAATATGAAATATTTATTTGTTCAAAAGTTTATTAATAGTGTAGTGTAATAAGTCTTATCCCACGTAGACTAGAAAATCAAAAACTTGATGAGTTAATATATTCTTAATTGTCTTCTGGAATTGGATCCTAAAAAAGTATCAAAATTTTATAAACAAAACAAACACTTATACAGACTTAGATATTATATGTGTCGTGTGGCCAGGCTTGGCTTAGATCAACAAGATCTTATCTTTTTGTTGAAAGTTTATTATCAACTTTCAACACCAAGAGAAAGTAAATCTATTTTAAAAAAACTATAGCTTCACAGAGCCCTCGAATTCTTACTAATTTTGTTATTATTGTTTTTTTATATTTTTATAAGTACATCATTTTTGTTTTGTTTTGTTTTGTTTATACATCCTGTTTTATTTAATTGTTTTACATGTAACAGTACATATAGTAATTGAGATTTATTCCATTAGTTTTTTCTAATTCCGATTCTATATCCGATTACATCATGCAGCAAAGCAAGTCACAGTCATCTGCTTATGCGGAGCCTAAGATGCGAGCAACATCAATTTTAAGGCTGACCCCCTAGCTTACTACAACACCATACCCTGTTTGTTTTTTTATTGTTTAATTATTGTATGAAACACATGGTTTTTCTTATTTTCTTATTCTTTTACTTAATAATTTTCATAATTGATAGTTGCAAACAATCAAACTTAAAATCTACGATTAAAATAGTCTCAATCTCTTTATTCGCTACTTTCTTAGTAATTCATTTTTGAGTTCGATATTAAGAATATTATAGTTATTTAATGTCTGGACATGATTTTTCTTCAATAGAATAGGGCTACTTCTTGCACATAATTAGCTTAAAATAGTTGATATAACATTAAAAAAATCACTTTGAGAAAATAACTAAATTTTATCCTACATCTGTTATATAATCAAATCATTTGTAGCATAAATTCAAAAACAGAATGTGGAGAAATCCGCTAAAATTGCACCCCTTAATGTCTCGTAGGGGTGTTCAAATTTCTGATTGGCCTCAATTTCTTACTCTACTCTACCCTACTGAACGGCTAGTCACAAAAATTGGATAAGAATGCAGAAGAGTTTTGGTCTTCCGATTAAATCGGGTAGGAATGCGAAATATCCATCAATTTCTACATTCTTACCCTACTCTACCATACCCTACCCGCAAAAATTATATTTAACTTTTTTATATTTTTTTAGTAATTATAAGAGTACTAGTTATTACCCGTGCCTAAAGGCACTGTACGACGAAAAAAAATCAATTACAAAAATAAGCATTAACAAGAGAAAAAACGGTGCACATAATGATAACAATAAATATCTAGAACCGATGAATATATCAAAGATTTACAAAATTACCTCTAAAAAACTCAAAAAATTTAAACATATACGCAGCAGTTTACATATTTTATCATTGTACCTTAAAAAGCTATTACTCATTACATATTATTAATTTGTCCATAGTAGTAAAAAAAAATTAATTAAGATGCATATCAAATAAAAGAACGCTTTTTGATATCAAATAACCACTCTCTCCATATGGTTAAAGTGCAAATCCTCATTCTCAATCAATTTGATCTGGCATATAAATATTATTTTTCAAATACAAATGCACACCATAGAAATAGGTATAAAAGAAATTACGAAGCATCAAAGCATTCAAGAGGCGGTGTAAAAAATTGCTCGAAAATAACATTGGTTCTTTAAGTAACTTGAATTCCAATAAATTCCAGTTATTGAAAGTGTGCCCAACAAACTATTAAAACACTATTGCATTTGAAGTAATTAAAGTAATTTTAACCAATCCCCCTCACTTCTCCTTTTGCTCTCCTACGTCAAAACTCCCAAGCCCACATTTTCATTGGCAACAAAATGGAAACAAAAAGCAATAAATCAAAGTGCAGTCAAAAATATCATAGTCCTATCCACAAGACCCAAGTTTATAATGCACTAAAAGGTTGTCTTCTAATTTAAAGCCAAAAGAGAGAAAGAGCAAACTAAAAGTCAAGGCTATATACACAATTTCATAAAATATTAGGTAAACATAACAATCAAGGCTATAATCCCTCTGCACTACCCCTGACATAACCAAAGAGCACACAAATGTACCAAATAATCTTTCACTTGCCTCAATCCTTCAATTACACATAAAATAGTTCAAACCCACTTCTAAAAAGCTGAAAAACATTACATTAGAGGTCATTAAAATAACTAAAATTATTCAAATCACAACTCTATCCAATCTTCAAAATCTTTAGAGGATCTAGTAATGAAATCAAAGTCCTCATGTCAAGGAAGCCCCTTAATATTTTGCATCAAATCAAATAAAATCAAACAATTGGTATCAAGTCGCATTCAATTCCCCTCAATAGTGTATCCCATCAAATTCCCAACAAAATAACAAAACCTTCTCAGAATTAGCATTAAGTCCTAATTTGTTTACAAAACAAAATTAAAAACCTTAGATTATTGCAAAACTAAACATATATTGAGTACAAGGAGTTTAAATGGACAATAATTTGTGCATTCGATGGACATCGATTCTTGCTTTAATGAACAAAACACCAATCGAACTAAACCAAATCAAATTTTTTTGTGAGCCACGATTAATTAGTTGATGTTCTATGTTTATTTTCATTTTTGTCGATGTCTTTATTTGTATATACAGTATTTTGTTCGATTTATTTTTGTAAGTAGTGAATTGAAATATAAAGAGTATAAACATAGTCCATGTTGTTTATTTAAATTTTGGTGCATACAGTTTGGTGCCCAAATGATAATAAATCAAACCATTTTTATGAAATTTGAACTTAAGATTTTAAATAGTAATCTTGAAGGCATGCTCTTTTAAACTTTCCTAACATGTTTGTGTTCCATAACTTAAACTCCACTCTGTTTCATGGTGTTTCACTCCGCTCTGTCCAGATTCATTGTCTTTTCTTTTGGGCTAATAAATTTGAATGATCTACTATTAAAAATTTGATGTTATAGTAATTTAGTGGGTCAGCCTTAAAATTGATGTTGCTCGCATATTAGGCTCAGCATAATTAGGGGCCCTGCGACGTGCTTTGCTGTATGACGCTTCTCCTTTGTGGTGTTCGTAGTGAGTAAGGGTGTCAATCGTGTCATGTCATTTTCGATCATATTAATTTTGGGTCACGTCATTTTGGAAATGTGTCGAGTTCATGTCAAAAAAAAAATTTATTTAATTTCACAATAACTTATATAATATTATTTTAAAATTTTTATTTTTTATTACAATACTCATTAAATACTTATTTTTTATTTACAACATCCATTAATCATATTATTCGTGTCAAACTTTAATTTGATTTATTTATTACTCGCGTGAATAAATCATGTTATTTTCGTCGAATCAAATTCTTATTAATGGATAAAATTGACACCTCCAGTGTTTGTGGGCAGAGAGTAAGCGTGGGAGATGGGTTGGTCCCAAAGGCATTTAATGCAAAATGGTGGGGACTTGGTCAACAATGGAGATAAGGTCCACAGTTTCAATTAAACTATTTGGTCCAACGCTATTGAGACATA